TGGTGTCGGTCCACTCTGTTTCCTGAGATCAAGGGTCAACGCAGCCGTCTACCAGCAAGTTTTAGAGCACTTCATGCTTCCTGCTGCTGACCTGCTCTATGGAGATGGAGATTTCAGGTTCCAACAGGACTTGGCGCCTGCACACAGCGCAAAATCTACCCGTGCCTGGTTTACGGACCATGGTATTTCTGTTCTAAATTGGCCAGCCAACTCCCCTGACCTTAGCCCCATAGAAAATCTGTGGGGTATTGTGAAAAGGAAGATGCAGAATGCCAGACCCAACAACGCAGAAGAGTTGAAGGCCACTATCAGAGCAACCTGGGCTCTCATAACACCTGAGCAGTGCCAGAAACTCATCGACTCCATGCCACGCCGCATTAATGCAGTAATTGAGGCAAAAGGAGCTCCAACCAAGTATTGAGTATTGTACATGCTCATATTTTTCATTTTCATACTTTTCAGTTGGCCAACATTTCTAAAAAATCCCTTTTTTGTATTAGCCTTAAGTAATATTCTAATTTTGTGACACACGGAATTTTGGATTTTCATTTGTTGCCACTTCAAATCATCAAAATTAAATGAAATAAACATTTGAATGCATCAGTCTGTGTGCAATGAATAAATATAATGTACAAGTTACACCTTTTGAATGCAATTACTGAAATAAATCAAGTTTTTCAAAATATTCTAATTTACTGACTTTTACCTGTATATACCCCAAACTCAGCCAAAAGCTAAAAAAAAAAAACTCCATAAAATTCACTGTGTGCTCCTCTAAGACCTATCACCCTTGACCTGCTGAAAACCCCCCAAAATTGAAACAAGGCTTTATAAACATCATACTAGGTGTGTTGTTTTTTATTTGAAAACCCAATTTAAAAAACAACCACAAATAGCCAGGCCTTAATTTGGTATTTCACTTTTATGACCTAAATACGGCCTAACTTCACTACTGCTCCCCTAGCCCTTGGCAACATTCCAACGAGATGAGCTAATCTCTTTCTCCTGGTTATCCCCAGTCTTAACCCATCAATAATTGTTTGTATCAATCTAATTCCTCATAACTAATCTATAAAACCACTCAAAATTCCTCGAGTATACAATTATTATTTAATTGATTACCCTAACTCTGCTACATGTACCAAACATTTATATTTTCCCGCTAAACCATTTCAGTTCGCTATTCAATTTATCTAACTGTTCTCTCTGATTATGCCCTAATTAATAAAACAAATACTTGCTATCGTTGATTAGCATACATTTAATGATGTTCCTACCATCTGAACTGTACTGTCTCTCACCCTCCCCTTGCTCCTTCGGGGAGAGCGCATGGTAACCCTATAACATATTTTCATAGACTTTTCTAGAATACTTCTATTTAAGCTATCTAATTCAACCTTTCACATAGTAATCTAGGTATATAGCCCCACTGCGAAAGCTTTGTCTACTGTCCCTACCTGTGTTCGAACCAGGGACATCGCCAGTCACTCCACACCATCTACGATTCTCACAAAGTAAATACTTTCACGTCGCACATCCAGCCACGTCATCACCCCCGTCTAGCCAGCCCTTCCGTCTCAAACACCCTAGTAGCCTAAATAAAACTCTAACAGCGTTCTGCATTTTCCTCTATCATCGGGTTTAAGAACTAACGTAACAACATTAACTATTCTCTATTGCTGTAGTAACGTCTTGTTTGGTTCAGTTTATTTATTACGGAGTGTCCATAATACTATAATAATACATAATCGAATTCCCCTCATGCATACAGATTTCACCTTATGCCATTGAAATGCCAAATAAACCATAATAGTTCAATGGAGCCCCCTATTGGCTCTCCCCTACCTATACATTACTTCTACAACCACTTTAGTTATGGTCCGATTACAAATTAAACCTTATCACATGATCAAACAACGCCACAACCTTAAACTCATATGGGGCGGCAGGCAGCTTAGTGATCAGTAGCACCGCGCCAAGAACCGAGAGGTCGCCGGTTCCAATCCCCGAGCCGACCAGGCGAAAAATCTGCCGATGTGCCCTCGAGCAAGGCACTCAACCCCAATCGCTCCTACAAGTCGCTCTGGACAAGAGCGTCTGCCAAATCACCAAAAATGCAAATGTAAATATTCTCTACTTTCTCACCCATCTCATCCCTCGTCAGAAACCCACATGCACCTCTCAAATAATCACCCCGTGGTGTTCCCAGCCAACTCCCAGTCTTTCCTCGCTCCAAAAGCCACACTTTCGCTCTCTCCAGCCCCTCCCCTCGCAACTCTCTCTTCAGCTTTTGAGGAGAGCAGGCTTTTTGAAGAGCTGTTTTTCGTTTTAGTGTTCCAAATATTCTGCCGTTTTTTAAAGTATTTTAGTCTATTTATTTAAAACAAATCATTCCCACCTAATTAGTTAAAGTTGGTGCATATTTATATTTAAATGATAAACCGAATTATTTCAGTCTAATTGTTTAACCAGTATTTTGCAGGTTCAAACATTACATCAAATAATCAAAAAAAAAAAAGCCTCAACCCAAGCACCTAAAACCAGTATTATGCTATGTCAAACATCAAACACTGAATCAAATAATAAACCAAATTGTTTCAACACAACTATTCAAAACCAGTTCAGTCACACAATTAATCACTTTAGCTTTATGTTCCCAATTGTTTTAACGGGTTATATGGTTTAAGCAACCACAAACCCAACAGTTATCCCCAAATTATACAGTTTGGACAGGCACAGACGTCTTTGAGCCCCAATTAGTTTTCTATCAAGGGATACTGGTTTATCATTCACACTCTCATTCATACGACCACACTCTCACTGTCTAACCTTTTATCATGCTTCCTATGATTTTTAAGTCATAAACCGTACTGTCACACCACTTGTGTAGAATAACTTCTATGGGAGTCAGACCCCTCTAACCATAGTTCACTACTTATTTAAAACACCTCCTATGGGAGTCACACCATTTATTTAAAATACATCCTATGGGAGTCACACCCTCTAACCATAGGTCACACTGTTTATTTAAAATACATCCTATGGGAGTCACACCCTCTAACCATAGGTCACACTGTTTATTTAAAATACATCCTATGGGAGTCACACCCTCTAACCATAGGTCACACTGTTTATTTAAAATACATCCTATGGGAGTCACACCCTCTAACCATAGGTCACACTGTTTATTTAAAATACATCCTATGGGAGTCACACCCTCTAACCATAGGTCACACTGTTTATTTAAAATACATCCTATGGGAGTCACACCCTCTAACCATAGGTCACACTGTTTAATTAAAATACATCCTATGGGAGTCACACCCTCTAACCATAGGTCACAATGTTTATTTAAAATACATCCTATGGGAGTCACACCCTCTAACCATAGGTCACACTGTTTAATTAAAATACATCCTATGGGAGTCACACCCTCTAACCATAGGTCACAATGTTTATTTAAAATACATCCTATGGGAGTCACACCCTCTAACCATAGGTCACACTGTTTATTTAAAATACATCCTATGGGAGTCACACCCTCTAACCATAGGTCACACTGTTTATTTAAAATACATCCTATGGGAGTCACACCCTCTAACCATAGGTCACACTGTTTATTTAAAATACATCCTATGGGAGTCACACCCTCTAACCATAGGTCACACTGTTTAATTAAAATACATCCTATGGGAGTCACACCCTCTAACCATAGGTCACAATGTTTATTTAAAATACATCCTATGGGAGTCACACCCTCTAACCATAGGTCACACTGTTTAATTAAAATACATCCTATGGGAGTCACACCCTCTAACCATAGGTCACAATGTTTATTTAAAATACATCCTATGGGAGTCACACCCTCTAACCATAGGTCACACTGTTTATTTAAAATACATCCTATGGGAGTCACACCCTCTAACCATAGGTCACACTGTTTATTTAAAATACATCCTATGGGAGTCACACCCTCTAACCATAGGTCACACTGTTTATTTAAAATACATCCTATGGGAGTCACACCCTCTAACCATAGGTCACACTGTTTAATTAAAATACATCCTATGGGAGTCACACCCTCTAACCATAGGTCACACTGTTTATTCGCTTTAAAGTGCCACCTATGAACTTCTAGTCATAGTTTGCACTCCCATGGGTTTAACCATCACAATTATCAAACATTTGCATAGTACATTATGAAATCGAAGTAGTATACTGTAATTGTTATTTATAGTAGAATAGGGTTCACTTACATCAAACAGGTGTTTCACAAAATTAATTTGGATAAAGCCAATGTGCAAAACTTCAGTTATATTACAATAGGTGTTTTGCTTACCTTTATAGAAGCCCGGGCAATTTGTGAAACACGGTTCGATGACAGTGATGTCCAATAGGCTGGGTGAATTCCAGCGAAGTGAAGTTCCGCTACCAGATCACAGTCGGAGGTCACCAATTGTTAGAAATTGCGTAATTCAAATCTGGTATTGGAATAAGAATCAAGAGATCTTCAATCCAAGCTTAATTTATTATATGCAAAATGTATGTATGATAAGTATGAAGGTTCGTATATACGGGTCCACTGAAATACCACGCAGGGCACTCAGTTAACTAATCCATTGTTCTAAGTTCTTCTTAAAATACTCTGACAGAAATCCTCCACTTCTTCTGTTGGCCAACCAGAGCAAAGGACTGAGTGTGGTCCAGCCAATCCGTTGGCGCAGGGGTGGGCCCAACTCCTCGGCACTCCACTTGTTACTAGACATAGTTGCTATGATAACCTGCGGAGTCAGCACCCAGAAAGACATCATCCCACTGTACTCCATGTTCAAGGACAGTTTCACAGAATACAAAGAGAGAGTGTTCGCATCTACAAGAAACACAAGTCTTATCTGTCCTACCCCCAACGTTCCCCACCCTGTTATGTGAAACAATCCATATCAGTACAGTGCTCCTCATTAATGCATTCCTTCCAAGCTATCCATCACATACAGATCCAATTATGAGAAAAATAAAACCCAACACTTATCAGTGTGACAATCTTTAAAACAAACACTCCAGAAAAGGGTTATAATGAAAAACTTTATTTCCAGTTTCATCATTTACTTCAGCAATTGAAAGAGGTCTGAAGGGTTGCAGGTGTGACCTCAATGTCATCTTACATCTGCAGAAGAGCAAATAAATTAAATGTAACAGACCAGCAATTAGATTAAAGAATATAGGCTCCCAAATCATTTATACTACATGTATAGTTTATGGGTCAGCTAGAAAACAATTATTCATCACCAATAATTCTAGATTTAAAATAGCTCACCAGCTTGGAACTCCTACTTGCAAGGGAAGACATATTCTGTCTCAGCCTGGTCACCTGTAACCATAAGACATGTTAGTCTCAGTAAATGAACACAAGTTGACCAAAAATGTTACTTAAACCATGGAAAAGGAGGTTTTGGGGCAGGTTAGTAAATCAACTTGCTTGGCTGGTAGTAGTCGTAGATCTTGACCACCGCTGGCTTTAGATTCTGTACTGGGAGCTCCTGTATGATGTCCAGGGTGATGGTGAAAGGAAATAGTGATGTTAACTGTTGGGAGAAAAACAAACATATTGGTCATTAAATGATCTAAGCAGAAGTTACATTTCAGCTTTGCTGACATGTCACCACAAGTACATCAATATATATTATTTTGAAATGACACCCATTATATTGCAGAGTGCTATGTGGACCATTTCAAACTGATGGGTGGTTTTCACCTCACCTCTGTCAAGTACGTTAACACATGGTCATCTTTGGTATCAACCCGATCCACTTGACTTGAACCCCTCAGCTGTGAAGACAAGCCATTCATATTGCATGGACAAAAACAGTCAGTGTTAGAAAGGGTCACAGATGAGGCAAGACCTCCATGGATAAAGGTCACACAAAAACTCACCCTCCCCAAAGAGTCTGGATCTGGGGAAAACCCAGAGAGCATTTTCAAATCCACTATAATCATATTGGTGGTCAGCTCCTTTCCATGATATCTGTGAAAGCAAAGAGCTGATTGATGAAGTTGGATTTTGACAAGCGCTTGTAATAATCAAATGAATGGATCCATGGGTTATTTTAGCCATAACCTCTACAGGATCGGTGTCCCTATACTGGGACGGTTGTTGCTAGTGTGACTAGAATGACGTTGTAAGTAACTTTCCAGGACAGACATGTCTTATCTGGGCAGAAAGCTTTACATTATTGTTAATCTAACTGCACTGTCCAATTTATAGTAGCTATTACAGTGACAAAATACCATGCTATTGTTTGAGGAGAGTGCACAACAACAACTTCACGCAAATTGGATTATTTTAGCCATAAAGACCAGGCTGCCAGATACATCATGTTATTGTTACTTATCCAAGCCTAGGTATCAACTGGAAGGTCAATAACATATACACCGGTATAATGAAACTAATTCATTTGGGTCAAATCCATTCTGTAAGACACGCTCCAAAATAACACTGAAGTGTCAACATTTAAAAGAATGCTGTGAATACAAAACGGGTCCGTCATTCTTACTGACACTGGAGTTTCAGCGTGACTCTGGGTCGCAAAGACTTGCTGTTGCAGTCTACCTCTGGAGTCACCTGGATACTGAGCGTTGTGCTTTTGGTAGGAGTAGGGATGTTGTAGTGGAGCGCCACCTGGGACAGAGAAGAGGAAGTCAGGGAAACCATCCTGTCCAAAAACAAACATTTTATAAGCTAGAATAAACACATATTTAATGAACTAGAAATCAAGCCAGAAGAAGCTTCTTATATGTTTGACCTTCCCAATAATGTATATTAAAGCACATCTTCCACCACAGGACTGGGAGGAGAGATGTGTATTCACTGACCTGCACTGAGGCACAAGCGCTGCCCTTCACTTCAATGCTGTACTTCCCTTCTGTGTCCTGCAGCGCCCTCTCCTGGTACAGAAGCTTGTTGTTTTGGTTCACATAGAAGAGGTACTGATGCCCACTGGGAGACTGTACTGTCACTGTGCTGGCTCCTCCTCTACTGAACACCCTGGTGGAGTAGAGAGCCAGGGCCTGGAGGGCCACCACCGTGTCCTAAACAGACCACAGGAAAATCACTTCAAAATTAAAGAGCCCATTTTACAGAAAGGGTTGATTTTTACATTGAACAGTTCCTAAAGTGACCATTTCCCAATTCCATGGCTCTGTATCAGTGGAAGTTAGCCTCACCAGGCTGGACATGAAGAGCACATGCCTGTGGTCTGATAGAAGTCAACGTAATAATGTCTCTACTAGTGCACAGCACAGGGTGCCATTTCAGACCAATGTGTTTGGGAAGTCTACCTGTGTGGAGGAGAAGCCTCCGTAGGCGTTCTGCTGCCTCACCAGCCACCTGACGATGCGGGAAGCGTAGCCCAGGTCAGAGGTCGACAGAGGAGAGGCACTGAGGGACGCCAGTAGAACGTAGGCGCTGGTCTCCACCTCAAGGGATGGTGAGGTCTCTGAGGAGGACTGGGACCAGTGCAGGAGACCCCCTGAGGGTCGAGGAGAGCGCACAAGTCAGAATAAGGACTGCTTATTCATCATAATACAAAGTTCTGACCTCCCCAATTCATTTTATGCCCAAAACAACTGACAGTCAGTTCAAAGTGTATTTGTTCTTAAAAACACTTTTACTGGCCGTTTGATTGGGCCTCTCTGGAGTGCCAGACGGGCCGAGGGTTTGCACTTTTAGGAGTAATCCATTGTCCAGGCAAGCTCAATCAAGGCAGCACTAACAGATCTTGGACCAGGATATAGCTCACCCTCTTGTAATGAGATGGTGTTGAGGTGCTGCAGAAGCTGGGCCCGTGTCTCCATGTCCCCTGCCAGGGCGAAGGTGTAGGCCAGCAGAGCAGTAGTGTAGGTGTTGGACAAATCACTGGTCGAGTTCTTCAGGCAAGACAAGCTGCGGTCCACAACAGGATCCTGGAGCACAGAATAACAGCAGCACATTGACATGCTAGCCTGGTCCCAGATCAGTTTGGACTGGCTCCATTCAACTTGCTGTTCTGGGGCCTCAGGCAGTTCTCAAATTGTTGATTAGGGGCCACGTTTTGCTGAGGAATGAGATTGGTTTTTCTTGAATGGCTTATAAAATCTTGTACATTTTATTATGTTGCATTTGTAAGTTGCATAACTTGTGTATATGCAGGGCTCCTCTGCTAAAGAGGCCTTGGTCTCAATGGGACTCTTCAAATAAATGTCAAATCAGACAACAGATCTGGGACCAGGCTAGAGACATTCAAGCTGGAGCACATTTCCTTTCTCACTTCGTAGTAGCATATTGAGTCTAATATCAATAGTAGCAGAACTACACCATTCAGATGTGTTCATGGTACAGCCCATTCTTTGTTATTTCATAGGCTACTTCAAAGAAATAACAATTCCCCTGTAACTCACTACATTGTATAATCTGTAAGTGACAGTTGATGTAAGATGTATACAGACTTCATACAGGAAGCTAAATTAGTAGCCTGTAACAATGTTGCTGGAGTGAGAATCAATGTTTTATATGGAGTGAGGTTACTTACCGACACTGACATGTCGAGCTCCAGCATTGAAGCAGTGACGTAAGCAGTCAGTGTGACTTCATCCGTCACGCCACCCTATAAAACAATGTCAAAATACTAACTGTATCTAGCCTGATACAATTGTTGAAATCAAACTTTATGACTGGTCTGCCGAAACAGACTACGTCTAACATCGTTCAGTTTATTAGCAATATAAATACCTTCATTCTGTTGTTAAAGAGTTTCCCCCAAAATTCTGAAACAGCCATGTTTGCCTTGTTGACTCTCCAGCCAAGTCTTGGATTGCTCCATGTTTGCCGGGTCAATATAGATGAAAGACCGTGCTTTGCCAAAGGATCTCAAGACAAAAGCAGTCAGCCTGAAGAAAGAACTTGATTTAAAAGCAGTCATAATATCCACATAAGATGGTCATAAACATGACTTGGAGCTTCACATTACATAGCCATGGTCTCCCTGCCAGAGACGATGCCATTTGATTGGCCACTACTTCATTGAAACAGACAGTTGTTTACAAGCCAAGTACTCACCAAGTATTCCCCAAGCCTTGTCCAAACGTGCTGTATGCACCGTCAGCAGTCTTGTAGTTCAGCTGCCTTTGGTAACCTGTCGGTGGGTTTTTAGAGTGAACAGTGACCAAGTGGTTTTTATAGTCACTGGGTTTGTGCCCCCAAATGGGTCTCCATATCAGGGCTCTTCAACCCTGTTCCTGGAGAGATACCCTCCTGTAGGTTCTCACTCCAACCCAAGTTGTAATTAACCCCATTCAGCTCATCAACCAGCTAATTATTTAAAAAAGGTCAGTTAGAGTAGGGTTGAGTGAAACCTTACAGGACAGTATCTCTCCAGGAACAGGGTTGAGTCCTGCCCTATATAGTGAACTACTTGAGACAGGAAATAGTGCACTATGTAAGCAATAGGCTGCCATTTGGGACAGAGTGTCAATATTCTACATCAAATGATTTCAGTGAGAAACCATGTGGAAGTCCCTCCATGTGTTGGGTCAGTGATGTCATCTGTACTGTAGCTCCATCATTTACATGACAACAGGGTCCTAGTCATTAGGGCACACTGGAGAAACCTTTTACTGGACAAATCCAGCCCTGTTTCAGTAAGTTTGTCTATAATAAATATTAGCCAGATTCAAAAGGGACACTCCTACCACTAGTGAGGAACTTGGTGGCCTTGTCTAGGATGGCTGGGGTGAGCTGCCCTGTGTTCCTCAGGTACTCCAGGATGTAGATATTGGGGGAGAGGAGGGCCATATTCTGCTCTCCACACCCATACGGCATCTGCAACAGTCCATCCTGGTGGTTGAGGGCCCGACCCAGGATGTCCCCTACAGAGAAACAAGGGACTTCTGTAAGACGGTCCTCTTCAGCAAACAGCAGCATCATCACTGGAGAAGGGTTGTCTTCCCACCACTACACAAACCATAGTTTATTTTACCCAGAACGGTGAGGGAAATTCTATCAGATCCATCCACCACATTCTGGGGGAGTTGCAGTTCCACCTCCTCTGTCAGAGTTTCTCCTGTGGACACAAAGATGATAAGATGAATGGCGAAGAGCACGTCGAACAACCGTGAACATTCATTCATTACTGACCAGTTGGACACAGCAACCAGTTGTAGGTGTCGGTCTTCTCTGTTCCCTCAGCCTGGAGGACAGGAGAGGGATTCTTTTCAGAGGCAGTTACACTAGACAATCTGTGCAAACCTAACGGTTAGTTCCCGGCAGCAAACTACATACCGTCACCAGCAGGCTCCGTGTGACTGTGTCAACGCGTCCTCTCTCCGGTACGTTCACAATCTCATGGTCACACGCAGTGTGGGAATGGACAGCCGCTGCACTAACGGACACGTTCAAAACCCCTACACACATTGGCAGACACCACAGGTTTACACAACATCCAACACAGTGACAGTACACAACTCAGGTTGACATCCATTCTGCTGTTTGAACGGTTGACGGGAGACTTACCCAGGACAGAGGGAGCCATTGTCCAACTGAAGGTCTTCCGTCCATTGGCACACAAGCATGAGGAGTAGTGGACGTCATTCAAGGGTGTGAGAGTGTAGTCTGGGGAGAGAGCCGGAGTCACAGAAACCTGCCGAAGAGGAACACTTTGTAAGATAACATGGTCTGACAAAAACTAAATACGATCCTGGTGCAGTGCTGTACCATGATGCACTTGGAGAGGTAGTTGAACACAGTGGCCTTCAGCTCAAAGTGCTCTCCCCGGATGACTGAGTAGGGCAGGGTGAGCTCCAAGAAAAACGGCTGGAAGACCGTGAGCTCCACCAGAGGAGCCAGACCAAAGCCACTGGGGGCCAGGCAGAAGACCTCAGTCTCCCAGGTGGTGATGGTGTCTGGGACTGTCAGGGGGACATCTGCTGATCCAGACTCCCTGGAATACAGAGGTTTAAACAGAAAGTCAACAGAGAGTAGGACTGTACCAATTATTTGAACACCGTTTCGAATGCATTTAAGCTTTATCTAACCAGGGAGACCCATTGAGGTAAAAGGAGCTCTTTCCTAAGAGAAACCTGGCCTACTCTGTACTACAGTTTAAAAGAGGTTCAGGTTCCTAATCTAGCTAAGAGGGTTTTCACCCAAGGCTAGCCTCACTGTGCAGAGCACTTACCCAACTTCCCACAAGATCCCAAATCCATGTCTCAGGGAAGAATGTACGGACCGTCTGTATGGGTGGCGGAGGTGTTGGGGCAACTCCACCAGCTATAGCCATTTCAAGTCTAGGACCCGCTGATCCAGGCCAGGCCATAGGTCTGTAAGCTACTAACACAAATCATGCACATTATTCTCAAGTTAAAATGGACTGAATGCTTTGCTCAACAGTGAGCGCATGCAGCGTTCTGACCACTTTAACCAGGCTGTGTTAGAACAAAAGTAATCCATTTCCCAAGATTCATTGAAGACTTCTAGCAATGAGAATAAGGGTTGGTTAGGACATCTCACCATAGGAGCGATAGTACTGGTTCCCCTGGTAACTGAGGCAGGAAGGTATTCTTATATCCAGATTAGTCGCCAGCTTCAGTCCCAGTGCCTATGAAATGGCAAATTATTAAAGTTTTATTTGTCACTGTACATGTGTTTTAGCCTCAGGCGATTTTAGCAATGTAACCTGTAAGTTGAACACATCGTGACGGTATGGTGACTGATTCTTCCCAGAGCAATAAAGAGGCTTCAAAGTTGAGAACAGGGCAGAAGTATTTACCTGAAAAACTGCATAAGGATCATTTGTCTCCCCAGACGTTCCATCTGGGTACGGCATTATGGATCTCCTTGGTCTTACACGTAAACATGCTACTGAATCTTCAAGCTCGTAGGGAATATAGGTTGTCTCCTTGACTGGTAACAAATCAAATATCTGGAATGGGACAATATGGGAAGGAGTGAAATGACGTTCTTGGGGACCAAACAGAACAGACTGAAACAGGGAGGGACTACTTGGACTAAGAAGAACCTCCATTTTGTTTCCCCATTGCCAAACGTCTAGAAAATTGTCCTGATGAACACAACCCAGAATATTACCTCATTATGTAACAATAGTGAGGTGATTTCCAGTCAATAGAAAGAGGGCCTCAAGCCAGAGAATAAGTCCCATTACCTCTGATAAAAGCACACCAAATGACCAACAGTGAACAGACCCATTCCATGTCTGCTGTGGTCAATGGTTCTTCCCCTGAGGCTGGTTGCATTCCCAGCACCACCAAAACAGTCGGTATGGTGGTAGGACTGTTGTTCACGTCAGTGAGCTCTGTTACCTTATCAGCATCCAGCCTCTTCCCTGGCTCCATGATGCCAACACTCTGGTCCACAGCGCTGAGGCCACAGAGGGAACCGGGCTGGGCAGAGAGATGCAGGGTGTTCTCCTCCCCTGGGACCGCATTGGAGGGGGAGAACTCCACCAACACCTGGCATACACATTATACACTTTTACTGCAGGTATGATACAGTATCTATGTGCATGGAAATAATTGACACTTCATAACCAACATAAAATGAGAACAATGTTTGTGATGTGCACACCTTGTTCCTGAAGCATTTCTCAGTGGGGAAGTTCATGCTGTGGGCGATGACAGTCTCACTGGGTAGCATACTGTACACCAGGAGCTGAACCACCGGCGCCATCTCTGGAACCACTGCCAACTTCAAGGTGACTTCACCCTCAGCTACTGCAACGCAAGAGCAGGTCACACTGCCATCAAGCGCCTTCCAGAACGTTCAGAATCACTTAATGAAACTCACTCACCAGGACTGTCCTGCTGCACAGTAACGTTCTTGTGTCCATGCTGAACTATCACCCCTCTGGATAAGGCCTGGAGAGAAAGGGGGAAACAGTTGTCATCAACTCAGAAAGGAGATGATGCAACCTGGACTCACGGGGTAGACGTGGTAAACAAATCCAGGACACAGCAATTAGTATGTTGTTATGTGGATGTCCATCCATTTCGTATAGGTTACGAGATGTATGATATGTTACGAAGTCCAATTTGCTGTGGCTTATGTTATCGAGGTGGCTAATACTAAGGTTTAGGCTGGATGATGAGTTTGTGTTGTATAGGAACATCCTTTTGAAAAGTGCGAGGCTTGGGCAATGTCTGAAATGATCCTGGTCAAAAGTAGTGCAACTAGGAAATATGGTTCCATTTGGGAGCCACCCTGGGTTTGGAAGTTGTCAACTAGTTCCTGGGTTCTACTCACCAGGTAGAGGACATCCACAGAGCCCTTCGGGACGGTCTCCCCTACGATGGCATAGTGGATGGTGATTGACACTTCCTCCCCACATGCCAGTGGTTTCTCCATCTTCTGAATAGCCAGGGAGCTGGAGGGTTTACGGTCAGGGGCAGCGGGCTGGATCAGGGAGAGGACGTGACGCCCTCTGTTGAAATAGGGGACCCTGTATCCTCGGTACTCCACTTGTGGGGTGTCACTTACCTGTAAAGGAACAAGAGGAGGAGTCTAAAGGACCAATCCTAAATCAACCCCTAGACCCTATGTTCTACATACAGTGGTGATATGAGGGGAGGACAGATGTAAGCAATATGGTAACAGATCCACCTTACCCTCTGATAGGCTTGGTGGAAGTTCCACCATGCTAATATTACCAATTCAATCTTCTCAGATCCCCACAAGACCATGATAGGCCTTAGGGTAGCGTTTCCCCCAACTCTGTCCTGGGGACCCCAAGCGGTGCACATTTTGTTTTTTGCCCTAGCACTACACAGCTAATTCAAATCTTGATAAAGAGTCCGTTATTTGAATGAGCCGTGTAGTGCTATGGCAAAATTCAAAACATGCACCCCTTGGGGTCCCCAGGACAGTTAGGGAAACGCTGGCGTAGGATCAAGGGCTGAGTTGGTCTTGAGCATAAAGAGGCTGTCAAAACCTAGAAGGAATCATACTTACTATGAGGTTAATATTCTCTTTGGGCATACTGGTTGTGTTTAGGGAGAACCTGGCAATACCACGACTGTCCGTGGTTAGGTTCTGTAGTTGTAGATATGAGGACCAGCCCTTCTCCTCCAACAGGTAGACTAACATGTCAGAGATGGGTGTGTTGTTGAAGTGAACAGCATATATCTGAGGAAAAAGGGGGGAGTTGTATGAATGAAGTGACGCTACATGTCATTAACTAACACATACTGGTAGTTCAGCAAGCAGGGCAAAGAACAAATGGCCTCCACAATGCAACAGAAACACTGTATTTGGACTTACCTTGCCCTCAATAATTGATCCATGCTCATAGATTTGGGGCGTGTCGACAAATGAGAGTTCTCCAATCACATAGGAGAGCGCTATGCGTTTTTCCTCTGACCGTGTAATACCTGTCAAAGGAAAATAAATTATAATAGGATGGTATATTTCACAATTACCAGAGCCAACACAATGCACAATGGCAGTTCAAAACGCAGAAACTGAATTTCAGTACAGCAGGATATTATAAACAGACGACAATAAAACAGCATTCTATAAAACAACGCTGTCGCACCAAAGGTCAAACAGCTCATTCTTGCCAATCTTCATGATCTAACGCAGAGTTCCTCCAACTCAGTCCCGGGGTCCCCCGTGGGTGCAGGTTTAGGTTTTTTGCCATAGCACTACAGCGGATTCAAATAATCAAAGCGTCATGATGAGTTGGTTATTTGAGTCAGCTGTGTAGTGCTAGGGCAAAAACCAAAACGTGCACCCAGGGTGGGCCCCAGGACAGAGTTTGGGGAAACCCTGATCTAATGAAACATGCACTAGTTATTTCATGTCATTTACTCAATAAAACACATCATTTGACAGCAATGTTACCAATGATTGTGATAATACTAACCTGTCCCCTCCTCCTGTACCTCTGCATGGAAACTAAACACGTCTCCCAGCAATTTCTCTCCTAAATTCTTTGTGAAAATTGCCATGTTGAAGACACAGGAAGCACAGCCTGTTAGGTCCATCTGGGAAAAGCAAGCAGAACCAAACACACTGAGGACAGATTTAAATTAATTCAATCAAACATTAAGAACCAAGTTAAATAAATTAAAATCACATTCAAATGTAATATGTTGGTATAAACAGTCCTACTAATGATCGTTTTATGAAAGCATCCAGACCTCTATTGACTCTTTGTGGCAGGGGGGTGTGTAATCAGGAACTCCTTGTGGATGTTTCTCATCAATTGTTATCGGTATCACTACATTGTCCCCCAAGAGTCGGCACAACTTTAACCCTGCTTTACCAGGTACAGGCTGTCCATACGTGTACCTGATTTCAATTCATAAGACAAAAGAATCAAACAATTTCCTACGTCGACAATCACCATATTAAAAACCTAATACGAGACAAAGGTTTGTGCAAACCTGTAGGCTTAAGTCAAGTGTTCAACATGGCCAATGAATCTGGACCCACATTCATAAAGACTCTCAGAAAGGGATCAGTTTGAACTTTAGGATCATAATGAACAAGGTCACATGTCATGGGGGGGACCGGATCCTAGAGCAGCAATCCCAATCTAGGATGCTTTATGAATACAGAACCAGCTGTTCATGTAAATGCCACTGTAGCAAACGTTTGAAGTGTCAGGGATTAATAGCAGCAGTTCAGGACATTGAGCAGTAGCATTGTAGGTCTTCAATTAGCATGTGTCATTAGTGAAGACCTGGGTTCAAGTATCTTACATGCATATTGAAGTATTTGTATTTTAAATCATTATTAATATAATATTATTTTCAAATACTTTCCAAGTGTTTATCCAAATACCTTCAACTACTTGTATTTTCAAAGAAAGAATAACCAAATACTTAAAATCTTTCACATTTCAAAGTATTAAAATTACTTATTAGAACCCAGGTCTGCATTAGCATAATGCGATTATTAGATCATTACATTTAGTGGAGTTACACATCACCTTGTAACTACAGTGCATTGGAATCGCCATTAGCGTTTACTCACTTGGCACACACTTCCACTTCATACTCTTCTTGAACAATACTGATCTCGTTGGTGAGGTTCATTTTGATCTCAAACTTTGGCAGAACTACAGATAAAAGAACAGCAGTCAACTCTAGAATGTTCCAGGATTGTGATGCATTGATTCAACTGCCAGAGCCATAACATTACCTAGCATGACAGGTAAAAGAAAAAAGCTCAACCTACCATACTTTTCTACCTTGAAGTTCTGGTATATTTTGTCTTGACCAATCCACACTACAATGGCATAGGATCCTACAGGTGCTTCAGAGTTCAGGGGGTGAGAAAGCTGCAAAATGTTGCCACTGGATGTAGTGTTGAGCCACTGTCCAATCCTGTTCTGATTAACATCCTGTTGGTTCATAGAACAAGATAACAGTATACAGGAGTCAGCTCTTTTCATGACATTTCTATCTGCAACATTGGCCTACTGAAGGGGGCCCAGAACACACACAGCTGATTGGAAGTATTTAGCTAACTTCCACAGTAGGTTGAAATTAATGACGACCTAGCTAGCGGGTGGAGTCCTAATGTTGCAGTATTTACAGTGACAGTCATCATAAAGTTAGACTTGTAAGGGTCTTACCTCAAGTTCCACAATGTTGTACTGTGAAGGGCAAAGACAAGAGATGGGTTCATGAATAACTCCAAAACATCAGAGGAGCATAACGGTCTACAACTATAGGAACTAGACAGGTGATTGGCTTAGTGGGACTAATGTCAATTTAGTACATGAATTCAGTCTCAGGAAAAGATGATCCCATACATTCCAATCTGACCTATATGAATGGAAACCCCATGTCCTGACTGGTTGATTGCTGTACCTTGTTACATAATACTTGCTATGCCCATCAGTTGTGATACTTCTGTATCCGTATTTTGGTTTGAAATAGTAGACACCGATCTGAAGGACTGTTTTCAATATTACATTTTCAACACTCACCAGCTGATTGACAGGGCTAAAATTGGTATCCAAGGTGACGACTCTAAAATGCACTGTAAAAAGCCGATGACAAGAAAATGAGAATTTTAGAAGCATCATGTCGGACAACTGAAAATTCCAAGGTTTCCAGAAATCCTGGTTGGAGGATTCCCATCCTGATTCCAGGAATCTTTCACCCGGCATTTCTGGAAAACCAGGGAAACTGGTGAAGTAAGCAGAACTTGTCACAGCTACTCTGGATAATATTTTACACTGTTGGTACTAAGGCCCCAATTCAATCAATTGCAGATGAAGGAAAACTGCACTGCGAGTTCTGAATATATTTACACTATCCAATTACGTCCATGAGAGGAACATCTCGTAACATGTGGCATGTCGGTTCAAACTCCGTTCCAGTGTACATATCCTGAGTGACCCCACAGTGGGTTTTTTCCTGTATCTGCACCCCATTCCTGAATGAAGCTTTTCAGGCGTCCGTTTCCCTCTCCAATGTTCATAAGCCACGCATGACTTGTTAGAACAGAGTGGACAGGACCAGGCACCAAATCAGACTGGGGGAAGATCATTAACAATGATGTGTTCTTTTCTACACAGAAGATCATACAACTATTGCCTGATGATCTTCTGAAGTTCTCAATACCTTCCAATCACTTCAAACCATACTTCCTTCAGATTGTAATATACGGTCATAGCCCCAAATAAAGAAAGGGAACATGGTGGGGTCATGGAAAGTTGATATCAAAATGGGGTCTGGGGCCCAAGAAGTTTTGGAACTCCCATCACCTAATTGTCCTGTTTCTTAGCAACCAGACTAAAGGTGTACTGGCTCTAACATCACCTGTTTGTCCTGGGTTATAGATTGGTTTGTCCGTTTGGATGAATGTCATGGGGCTGTAGGGTTTGATCATGACCTTCCTCTCCTCTGTTGATAGAAACGTGTCACCTCGAACCTCCACCTTGAAGTTTTGCACTTTGTCACTCTTCACATGAGGGGCCTGTCAGGGAGGAAGAGCGCAACACTGGTGAACTAATGGACCAACAACATAGGACATTAAGATGTGGTGCCGTGTGGCCCAGTTGGTAAGAGCGTGCCACTAGCAACTTCAAGGTAGAGCGTTTAACTCCTGCAGGGATCACATTATGCACTCCCCTTATTGGAAGTTGCTTTGGAGAAGTGGCATATATCAATTGTCTAGATAGTATATAGTAGCATTCAATCAAAACCTGGTACAAATTTGAGCCTGAATCCCAGAAAAGTTCTGGTAGGCCACCACATTGATATTTCCCATAAAATAAGCTGGCATTGCACCAAGAAACTAAGAGATTCAAAGCTGAGAAGTCCAGTCCACTCTTATTGGAATGGTTGTGGATGTCCACCAGTGCTGGGCTGACCTGAAACTGGAAGCAGCGATGAAACTCTTGGTCAGAACTCTTGTGGAGAAGTATATTGTTCTGCCCGTCGGCCATCAGAGATATGGTCATGACCAGGGTCTCGTTGGGCTGCAGAAGGCTGGCACAAAGCTTGGCCTCTGAGCCTGCCTGGATCACTGCAGGAATGGCTACCATATAAACCCTACAGAGAACACAGGAAAATCAGTACCTAATGAGATGATACCTCTAAACACAAACCTAGGTGAAAAATACTGTGGAGATAAAGATCTGCAGAAAAATTGCTCTAAATCTGCTCCGACAGAGAGAGTGTTAAACCAAGACGAGAGACTTAAGTGTGATGACTAAATTCTAACTTCTGTGACTGCAGATTTACTTACGGTCCTGCAGTTTCTTGACAGACACAAATCCAGTGAATGCAGGCAAAGAGTATCCATCTCCAAACCTGAAGCCCAGGAAGAACCATGACTAAAGGAGAAAAATAAACCAAGTCAGTTATGACTCAGTATTCCTCCTGGGAAGACCTCCCTACTGCACTGCCTAGAGGTTGTCTAGCTGGGATACAGATTGTCAATTGACTTTAACTATAAGGTAAAGAGAATTAGGTTAAGGTTAGGAAATTGGTTAGCTAATAAAATAAAAATCTACCGGGGGAGGTGGTACTTAACAATAACATCTGAAATTATTTCCTGGGGGATGCAAAACATCCTTATCAGAACTGTCCATCCACTGATATACAGGCAGAAGCATCCCCAAACGGGCACCAACCTGGTCTCAGAGCATTTCGTATTATTCTGTATGTAAACCCAAGACACTCCATTAAGTAAATGTTACATTTCGTATGGTATGTATTACATTACCAAACATAACATACTACACTACAGTGTCCCGGATTTACATTTACTATGTTACATCTAGTCCATGAGACCAGGCTGTAGACAGGTCGGTAAAAAGGCTCAACTGCATTTAGGTTATTGTTTTACTTCTAGACTGAGATACAATATATCGGTCTAGAAACTGGGCGCCAAACACAGATTGCAGATGTTTGTCTAGCGTGCACATACATAAGCAATTCTGTTGCTAAACCCTTTTGGATTGCATTTGGTATAGCCTGTAAAAGACCAGATGCAAGTAGAAATGTTAGGCACTAACTTTTTAAAAGTTAATCGCCGACCTGTTGTTATAGGTATAAGATTGCGCAACAAATTGCCATAACACCCGTGGCCTAGGCATACTCACCACCGCGGATTGTTTGTGGACTCAGTAGAAAGGAAGTACAGACTGTCGGTCACGTCCCTATAAATATCCTTAGTTCCGGACTTTTTTCTAATTACTAAACGCTCGCACCTGCTGGATATTCAGGGAGTTCGATTAGACTGAACGCCCATTTCAAATGCCGGATCATATTGTCAACAAGGCAGCATGGTGCATATTTCATGAACATAGGCCTACAACATGTTTTTCCATAAAATGTTTGAATTTTCAAACACTTGGAAGGCAGCTGAAGCACATATGGGGATTTTACCAAGACCAAACACTTTATCACTCTGCATGCTTGACCAAGATCACTTTGTTTTGAGTCAATTTCATCTGCTTTTAAAGGGGCACCTGGCTCATGCCCCAGAGGTATCCCGGCCACTTTTCAGCCACGGCAAACTCCTCCCACCGGGGTAAAGTGGGCCAGATAATTTTATCCCCTCCCATCGCGCCATTAAACTCTGTAGCTATACACAAGTTTTTGAGCCGTTTCCGCTCTACTTCCTGAACTCCTTCCGTCGATGCAATCCACTTCCGTTCTGCCGGGCTGGGTTTGTTTTGCTAGCTAGCTCCGTTGTGCCGACAAAGCACTGATATCGCAGTGACAAAGAGGATATAAAAATTATAATTACAACATGAAGAAAAGTGGTTCGGGAACGACGTGTGCGGTAGTTGGTTGCAAAAACTCGAGAAAGCACCTGAACGAGTGGTTAGATAGAGAGTGCTACGACCACAAACCAGCTACGAAGAGGCAATGTCCATGCGCTCCATTGTTTACATTTTTTCGCAAGCCTGATACCGACTCGGAATCAAGGACCTGGCTGAAGGCACTGAATCTAAAGAAACCACCCCTCAACGTTTTTGTTTGTTCCTATCACTTTGTTGACCAAAAACCTACCAAGGATAATCCTTTCCCAGAGTTGTGGTTGGGATACAATCGCCCTCCCCAGCCAAAGAGGTGTCAACTCACCCAGCGGACCACTGCCTCCCCCCAGATAAAGAAACGCAGACTTGAATCTGAGGGTAAGTTCAGCAACTTTAGCTATGAAGCTGACAATACTGTTAATTATGAAGAAGTTGTCATACATTAAACATTGCTACCGGTATTTTGCTAAGGCAGTTGATTGTTTTGGAGATGGGACAAACAATGCCCACGATAGCTACATCATTAATTGTGTGTGTGTGTGTGTGTGTGTGTGTGTGCCTGCCTGCGTGTACCTTAGTCTACATCATAAATACAATGCAAGGTGGCAGGCTGTTGTGATGATGATTGTGTGTGTGCGTGTGAGTGCAATGTTGTAGTACACATTTTTCCATTGTGATGTTTGTAGTGAGAGGACTCTATGCCTGCATTAATTTTGCTCCATCCATGTTTTCTCTTCCCCTTTTTAGATGCTCCAGAAACCTGTCAGCCTGTCTGTGAGGCCGAGCCTGCTACACCAAAATTTCGAGATGCCCAGACCCAATGGGAGGATCCGTCACATATTGATCACATTTACTGTTCAACAACACAGTCTGTTAAAGTAGACAAGGCCACACAGTGCGAGGCAGAAATGGGTAATAATTACCTTCCACAGGATCGCAGCTGAGTGGGAACAAGATCTCCCTGGTCCAGCAACACACGTACATCCCGCAGTTTTGACTTCTCCAGCTTCAGTTACCAGCACCCAAGCATTATGCCATGCATTGTTCAAACACTGGCTAGGCTCTACATTTGCTTTCAGATAAACACAACGATCATGTTTGTATGACATGACACAACCGACTTTGTTGCTGTGCAGATATTGATATGCCTCGGAGGCTTTCAGATTGTCCATTGCTTTTCCATCTATTGCCATGGATTGCACGAAGTAGGAGCAAATCTTGCTGTACGTTATGTTGGGCCACGTCGTCATGTTATCCTCCCAGTTCTGCACTGAATTCGGGTGGAGGAGAGTAGCGCCATCTCCAGTCAAAGTAGTAGAACCGTGTTCCCAAGCTAGCGTCGACATCGCTGTGTTTACACCGGCAGACGTTGTGCAAACAACTTCCGGCGGAAATTAAATGCATTTGTGTAGAGTTATGGCGCCAACCGGGATACAGCGCGTAAACTTGTGTATTTTAAAGTCACCATTGGCCTCATGGTAAAATCCCTGAGCAGTTTCCTTCCTCTCCGGCAACTGAGTTGGGAAGGACGCCTGTATCTTTGTAGTGACTGGGTGTATTAACACACCATCCAAAGTGCAATGAATAACTTCACCATGTTGAAAGGGATATTCAGTGTCTGCTTTTTTATTTTTACCCATCTACCTACAGTGGGGAAAATAAGTATTTAGTCAGCCACCAATTGTGCAAGTTCTCCCACTTAAAAAGATGAGAGGCCTGCAATTTTCATCATAGGTACACGTCAACTATGACAGACAAAATGAGAAGAAAAAAAATCTAGAAAATCACATTGTAGGATTTTTTATGAATTTATTTGCAAATTATGGTGGAAAATAAGTATTTGGTCAATAACAAAAGTTTCTCAATACTTTGTTATATACCCTTTGTTGGCAATGACACAGGTCAAACGTTTTCTGTAAGTCTTCACAAGGTTTTCACACACTGTTGCTGGTATTTTGGACCATTCCTCCATGCAGATCTCCTCTAGAGCAGTGATGTTTTGGGGCTGTCGCTGGGCAACACGGACTTTCAACTCCCTCCAAAGATTTTCTGTGGGGTTGAGATCTGGAGACTGGCTAGGCCACTCCAGGACCTTGAAATGCTTCTTACGAAGCCACTCCTTCGTTTGCCGGGCGGTGTGTTTGGGATCATTGTCATGCTGAAAGACCCAGCCACGTTTCATCTTCAATGCCCTTGCTGATGGAAGGAGGTTTTCACTCAAAATCTCACGATACATGGTCCCATTCATTCTTTCCTTTACACGGATCAGTCGTCCTGGTCCCTTTGCAGAAAAACAGCCCCAAAGCATGATGTTTCCACCCCCATGCTTCACAGTAGGTATGGTGTTCTTTGGATGCAATTCAGCATTCTTTGTCCTCCAAACACAACGAGTTGAGTTTTTACCAACAAGTTCTATTTTGGTTTCATCTGACCATATGACATTCTCCCAATCCTCTTCTGGATCATCCAAATGCACTCTAGCAAACTTCAGACGGGCCTGGACATGTACTGGCTTAAGCAGGGGGACACGTCTGGCACTGCAGGATTTGAGTCCCTGGCGGCGTAGTGTGTTACTGATGGTAGGCTTTGTTACTTTGGTCCCAGCTCTCTGCAGGTCATTCACTAGGTCCCCCCGTGTGGTTCTGGGATTTTTGCTCACCGTTCTTGTGATCATTTTGACCCCACAGGGTGAGATCTTGCGTGGAGCCCCAGATCGAGGGAGATTATCAGTGGTCTTGTATGTCTTCCATTTCCTAATAATTGCTCCCACAGTTGATTTCTTCAAACCAAGTTGCTTACCTATTGCAGATTCAGTCTTCCCAGCCTGGTGCAGGTCTACAATTTTGTTTCTGATGTCCTTTGACAGCTCTTTGTTCTTGGCCATAGTGGAGTTTGGAGTGTGACTGTTTGAGGTTGTGGACAGGTGTCTTTTATACTGATAACAAGTTCAAACAGGTGCCATTAATACAGGTAACGAGTGGAGGACAGAGGAGCCTCTTAAAGAAGAAGTTACAGGTCTGTGAGAGCCAGAAATCTTGCTTGTTTGTAGGTGACCAAATACTTATTTTCCACCATAATTTGCAAATAAATTCATTAAAAATCCTACAATGTGATTTTCTAGATTTTTTTTTCTCAATTTGTCTGTCATAGTTGACGTGTACCTATGATGGAAATTACAGGCCTCTCTCATCAATTTAAGTGGGAGAACTTGCACAATTGGTGGCTGATAAATACTTTTTTCCCCCACTGTACTCATCTGCCCTTCTTTGTGAGGCATTGGAAAACCTCCCTAGTTTTTGTGGTTGAATCTGTGTTTGAAATTCACTGCTCGACTGAGGACCTTACAGATAATTGTGGGGTACAGAGATGAGGTAGTGCAACTTATAACATTTACATTTACATTTTAGTCATTTAGCAGACGCTCTTATCCAGAGCGACTTACAGTAGCGAGTGCATACATTTTCATTCGTACTGGTCCCCCATGGGAATCGAATCCACAACCCTGGCGTTGCAAGTGCAATGCTCTACCAACTGAGCCGGACGGGTATATATAATCATGAGCCTTAAAAATACTTGACATTTTGCAAGACAATATGCCTTAACCTCATGCACAGCTTTTTCAAAGACATTCTATAGCTCTACATGCAGTATACTGTAAGAAATACTATAGGACTGTTACATTTTACCTCAGCTATTTAACCTTCACCAGAAAAGCCTTCTGTTAAATCAAGTACTGATTTTCTATAAGTCAACTACAATGTGTGTACTTCAAAATGTCTCTTCAAATAAATAATCTCGTGATACCTGTCAGAATTAAATGAATGGGTGGACGGGATAAGTCTCCATCTCAGGAGTGGATTGAGTGTTGCTCCAGAGATTGTAGTGCATCAGCACTTGTAGCTTGTGAGGAAGTGGTTCAGTAGGTTTGTTGCATAACCAGTGCTTGCTAGAATTGTCAATGAGACATGAAATCCATATCATTTATCTCTCAGCTCCTCGCTGATGACCATAGCCAGTCTTCACGTTTTCTACCTAAAAAGATGGAAGACCTTGTTAAGCACATTTTTACTCCTGAACTAATTTAGGCTTGCCATAACAAAGAGGTTGAATACTTATTGACAAGACATTTCAGCTTTTTATAAATAAATAACAATTCTAGCCAGTGATAAAAAAAACTACTCAATTTAATCCATTTTAAATTCAGGCTGTAACACAACATGTGGAAAAAGTCAACGGGTGTGAAAACTTTCTGAAGGCACACACACTCTTACTGCACCATGTCTTCCTTTGAACATGAGTATGAAAAAAACCTTGACATGCCTTCTCCCCTACCCCCTACCCCAGACCAAGGTGAAGTTCCTTGACATGCCTTCTCCCCTACCCCCTCCTCCAGACCAAGGTGAAGTTCCTTGACATGCCTTCTCCCCTACCCCCTCCTCCAGACCAAGGTGAAGTTCCTTGACATGCCTTCTCCCCTACCCCCCTCCTCCAGACCAAGGTGAAGTTCCTTGACATGCCTTCTCCCCTACCCCCCTCCTCCAGACCAAGGTGAAGTTCCTTGACATGCCTTCTCCCCTACCCCCCTCCTCCAGACCAAGGTGAAGTTCCTTGACATGCCTTCTCCCCTACCCCCCTCCTCCAGACCAAGGTGAAGTTCCTTGACATGCCTTCTCCCCTACCCCCCTCCTCCAGACCAAGGTGAAGTTCCTTGACATGCCTTCTCCCCTACCCCCCTCCTCCAGACCAAGGTGAAGTTCCTTGACATGCCTTCTCCCCTACCCCCTCCTCCAGACCAAGGTGAAGTTCCTTGACATGCCTTCTCCCCTACCCCCCTCCTCCAGACCAAGGTGAAGTTCCTTGACATGCCTTCTCCCCTACCTCCTCCTCCAGACCAAGGTGAAGTTCCTTGACATGCCTTCTCCCCATCCCCCCTCCTCCAGACCAAGGTGAAGATCCTGAAGCAGACGTCGGTGATGCTCCAGAGGGTTTCTAGGACACTTGAAAAAGGAGAGCCTCACACTCTAGGAGCTCAGATGTAATAATTTAATAACCATCAGTGACAACACCACTTCCTGTCCCTCTGACCTATAAGGTCACTCGTTAACCAGTCACTGACCAATCAGAACCTTTACAGCAGGAAAGGAAAACATTTGGTGAAGACTGGGATGGTGATGTTGATTGATGATGATCTTCCTCTCTCTATGGAGTGAGATCAACTGTTTGCTGGTGGGGTTTGGTCAACAGGTGTGTCTACCTGTCAATCCTCTCTGCTCTGTGTGTCTGAACCAGCACAGCTGCCCCTCCGCCCACCAAGCCTCCCCAGCCAAGAGGCCTAAAGCTGGGTCACCTCGCTCCCCTCCAGGGTCAAGCTGGAGCCTGGTTCTTTTGGTTTGGGGTTATCAGCCCCCTCCTCAGCCACACTGGTCAAAGAGGAACCTCTGGCTACCCCCCTCTCCCCTCCTCTGCTGCCCAGAAAAAGGAAGTCCAAAACATTCTCTACATGATACGACAGAAGGGGATGGCATCCCTATAGAGATACTGTCCCAATTCTCTCTCCTTCCTCCCAAAGTGTACACTTGTCACTTCCCTTGACTGATTTGAAATGACTGGTCCAAGAAATATGTTGGTAACTCCCACTAGCCCAGTGGTATTCAAACTTTTTTAGCGGGGACACCATTTTTTCAGACAGAATTTCTGTGGACCCCATTTATTTTGCCTGAATTTCTCGCGACCCCACCCCAAAATAACCTTAATCGGTATGTAGTATCTGAGGAATTTATGACTTTGTTAATGTTTGCAAATGGTAGCTTAGAGAATGTTGATTTAGCCCATGGAGACATCTGGGGAGCAGTTTTAGAGGGGCACCCTAAAGCAGAGGAAGTCTGTTAGGTGACCTCCTGGGATTGGTCTGTAGGGGAAACACCCATATCAGATTACATAGGATATATACTTGGTGAAGACAAAGGACGGACAGAACAACTTATTCTTTTGGGTCGCTGTTCTCCAGATGCCTGCAGGTATCTGTAAATCGACGCTGAAATCCTTTGTTATGAATAAACCTTTATAATCAAAGTACAGTGTCAGCGGATCTCCTTGTCCTCCACAGCATGATTAGCAACATGGTTTCAGACACAACAGGTACATTTTGATTTTTACATGAACTATTAACCAATTCATTATACAGTTGAAGTCAGAGGTTGTCATACACCTTAGCCAAATACATTGAAACTCCGTTTCACAATTCCTGATATTTAATCCAAGTAAAAATTCCCTGTCTTAGGTCAGTTAGGATCACCACTTTATTTTAAGAATGTGAAATGTCAGAATAATAGTAGAGAGAATGATTTATTTCAGCTTTTATTTCTTTCATCACATTCCCAGTGGGTCAGAAGTTTACATACATTCAATTAGTATTTGGTAGCATTGCCTTTCAATTGTTTAACTTGGGTCAAACGCTTCGGGTAGCCTTCCACAAGCTTCTCACAATAAGTTGGGTGAATTTTGGCCCATTCCTCGTGACGGAACTGGTGTAACTGAGTCAGGTTTCTAGGCCTCCTTGCTCGCACATGCTTTGTCAGTTGGGCCCACACATTTTCTATAGGATTGAGGTCAGGGCTTTGCGATGGCCACTCCAATACCTTGACTTCGTTGTCCTTAAGCCATATTGCCACAACTTTGGAAGTATGCTTGGGGTCATTGTCCATTTGGAAGACCCATTTGCGACCAAGCTTTAACTTCCTGACTGATGTCTTGAGATGTTGCTTCAATATATCCACATCATTTTCCTTCCTCATGATGCCATCTATTTTGTGAAGTGCACCAGTCCCTCCTGCAGCAAAGCACCCCCACAGCATGATGCTGCCACCCCCGTGCTTCACGGTTGGGATGGTGTTCTTCGGCTTGCGAGCATCCCCCTTTTTCCTCCAAACATAACGATGGTCATTATGGCCAAACAGTTCTATTTTTGTTTCATCAGACGAGAGGAAATTTCTCCAAAAAGTACGATCTTCAAATCAAATTGTATTTGTCACATACACGTGTTTAGCAGATGTTATAGCGGGTGTAGTGAAATGCTTGTACTTCTAGCTCCGACAGTGCAGTAATATCTAACAAGTAATATCTAACAATTCACAACATATACCTAATACACACAAAACTAGTAAGGAATGGAATTTAAGAAAATATACATATATGGACAAGCAATGACAGAGCGGCATGGACTAAGATACAGTAGAATATTATAGAATAGAATGCAGTATATACATATGAGATGAGTAGTGCAAGATATGTAAACATTATTAAAGTGACTGTAAACATTATTAAAAAGTGACTAGTGTTCCATTTCTTAAAGTGGCCAGTGATTTCAATAGGCAGCAGCAGCCTCTAATGTGCCAGTGATGGCTATTTAACAGTCTGATGGCCTTGAGATAGAAGCTGTTTTTCATTCTCTCAGTCCCAGCTTTGATGCACCTGTACTGACCTCGCCTTCTGGATGATAGCGGGGTGAACAGGCAGTGGCTCGGGTGGTTGATGTCCTTGAGGATCTTTTTGGCCTTCCTGTGACATCGGGTATGTATCTTGGAGGGCGGGTAGTTTGCTCCCGATAATGCGTTTGGCAGACCGCACCACCCTCTGGAGAGCCCTGCGGTTGAGGGCGGTGCAGTTGCCGTACCAGGTGGTGATACAGCCCGACAGGATGCTCTCAATTGTGCATCTGTAAAAGTATGTGAGGGTTTTAGGTGCCAAGCCAAATTCCTTCAGCCTCCTGAGGTTGAAGAGGCTCTGTTGCGCCTTCTTCACCACACTGTCTGCGTGGGTGGACCATTTCAGTTTGTCGGTGATGTGTACGCCATGGAACTTGAAGCTTTCCACCTTCTCCACTGCCGTCCCGTCGATGTGGATAGGGGGGTGCACCCTCTGCTGTTTCCTGAAGTCCGCGATCATCTCCTTTGTTTTGTTGACGTTGAGTGAGAGTTTATTTCCCTGGCACCACACTCCCAGAGCCCTCACCTCCTCCCTGTAGGCGGTCTCGTCATTGTTGGTAATCAAGCCTACTCTGTTGTGTTCCTTACCTTGGCCACGCACTGGGTGAACGGCGTCAGGAAGTATGGACCTTACACTGGGGGACCAGTTGCAAGGCG